GACCGGGACCGGCAACGGATCCCAAACCTCAGTGTCGCACCCGTACCGGACCGGGACCGGCAACGGGATCGCAACCCTCGGCGTTGCACCTGCACCTCGCTCAGCCAGTGAGCGGCCGGTCTGTATGTGGGATCCGAACCCTCGGTGGGAGCGCCACCGCGCTCCCAAGCGGCGCACTGTAGCAGTGCGCCTCCGGGCCGGCCCTTGTTTTTCCTTTTATCATTCTTTTTAAAAAGTTCCACAACCCTTTGATGGCTTTAGGGAAAAATGAGATTATTTTCTTCCCAGTGTCATTGTTACGGTGGGAGCAATGGTCTTTTGTGACTGTTGATATCCTAATCAGAAGTGGAACCCTTTATTTTTTAAAGTGTCAGTGTGTCTAATTCTGTGTTATGGGGTTTGTTCTGTCTCATATCACTTCTTTTTTTTTTAAAAAGATGACCGGTAAGGGGATCTTAACCCTTGACTTGGTGTTGTCAGCACCACGCTTAGCCAGTGAGCTGACCGGCACTCCCTATATGGGATCCGAACCCGGGGCCTTGGTGTTATCAGCACCGCACTCTCCCGAGTGAGCCACGGCCCGGCCCAACTTCTTATATAAAAAAAGAAACATTGGAGAACAGAAGTCAAAAGACCTCTTTGTTGTCCTTAGTCCTTCCTGAGAGGCCACCTCCCTCTGGGATCTGGTATAAGTCCTTCCAGTTCATGATTTTATACATTATTACATTTGTTGTAGCGATAAGCAAAATGAAGTTTTACTTTGTGTGTTTAAATTCTTATATAAATGCTCTCTTACTTATACCATTCTGCAGCTTGCATTTTTCATTCAACATTGTGTGTTTTAGATTTTTCCATATCACTATGGGTAGATCTCATTCATTTATTTTTTACTGTTCTATAGTATTTCATTATATGATAAACCAGAATTTATTACCTTATTATTGTAATTTAATTTAAAAAAATTTTTTTTTTGGCAGCTGGCTGGTTCAGGGATCTGAACCCTTGGCATTGGTGTTTTAACACCATGCTCTAACCAACTGAGCTAACCGGCCAGCCCTGTATTTTAAACTTGAAGAGGAACAGAAACACTTTTTAAAACCCTGAGAACTTTGGCACCACCAAATCAGAAAAAAAGGGAAATGCACACAGTCTGTTGCAGGGGTGAGGCAGATAAATAAGTGAGGGAGGTGGCGAGGTGGCGGGATTCGCAGACTGGAGCGCCCACTGTGCCCCTCCAGTTGGAGCAGCTTCTCCAAGCACCAGTCTTAGATGCCAAGCAGGGATGCCAGGTAGGAATTTTTACATTAAAAAGAAGCTGGGGGCTGGCCAGTTAGCTCAGTTGATTAGAGCATGGTGCTGTTAACACAAAGGTTCAGGGTTTGATCCCTGTACTGGCCAGCTGCCAAAAAATAAACAGCGAGGTGTGTGGGGGGGGGCGGGGCGCAGAGCTGGAGGGTTACTCAGTTGGTTAGAGTATGGTGCGATAACACCAAAGAGTTCAGATCTCCAAAACCAGCCAGCTGCAAAAAAAAAAAAAAAAAAAAAATCTGGAAATCAACTTTTTTTTTTTTTTTTTTTTTTAAAAGATGACTGGTAAGGGGATCTTAACCCTTGACTTGGTGTTGTCAGCACCATGCTCACCCAGTGAGCTAACCGGCCATCCCTATGTGGGATCCGAACCCTTAGGCCTTGGTGTTATCAGCACCGCACTCTCCCGAGTGAGCCACAGGGCCGGCCCCTGGAAATCAACTTTTAAATAAAATGTTTTAATTGTTAAATGCCAGCAACTGATCCATATCTTTAAAAACGCTTCAGCCATTAGCCTCCAGGCTACCAGTGGGTAATCTCCAACCTACCTTGTATGGGGAGGATACTGAAGCCCGAATGGCTTCCTCCTCTAACATCCTCCCAGACTTCTGGACACCATTCTTTCCTGACTGTCTTTGTTAGTCCCTGGAGCTCACTGGTCAGAAGACATCAGTTCTATTATTGGCTTAGTCTTTTCTTAAAGTTTTTTTTTTTTTTTGGTGGCTGGCCAGCAAGGGGAACTGAACCCCTGACCTTGGTGTTACAAGGCTGCACTCTAATCAACTGAGCTAACCAGCCGGCTGACTTAGTCTCTTCTTGGCTGTGCCATCTTGAGCAAATGACTGCCCCTCTCTGGGCTTCATTTTCCTATTTACAAAATGAGCCATGTACTATTATTTTTCCTGTATTATACATGATGAAATTGAGGCCCAGAGAGTTTGAGTATCTTGCTCAAGGTCACACAGTTTTTAGAGTAGAGATCCTAAAGTCCTGTCCTCCTAGTTCCTTATAATGTAAGGGGTACTAATTTTATATTCAGGGGGAAAGAGGCTATAAAATAGATCATTTCTAAGCTAGCTCTCTCCCCTCAAAAGCATTAAACTCATTGTTCAGTTTCCTTTTGAGTCATTCTCAAAGAGGTTTGAATTATTCTGAGATCATGGAAGTAGGAATATTTCTGGGAAAAGGAGTCCCTTGGGAATTTCCCTACAGGCCTAACCAGGCCTTGGAAGAAAGGTACATGGAACCAGGAGGCAGCTCCAAGTTTGGTGGGGAGGGATGCTTGCCTTTATGCCCCCAAGGCTGGCTGGCCCCTAACTCCCTGCTTTGCTTGCCCAACCACCAGGTGATGCTCCCTGTTTTCCTGGGTGAGCCAGTATCTCCCCAGATGCTGGCAGCCACCCTGGCAGAGTTGGACGAGACTCTGCAGTTGCTCGAGGACAAGTTCCTCCAGAACAAGGCCTTCCTCATCGGGTCCCACATTTCCCTGGCTGACCTGGTGGCCATCACAGAGCTGATGCATGTGAGTGCTGCTGGCAGGGTGGGCTCTCTAGGCAGGGGAGCCCTGGCTGGTTGCTGAAGTCCTGCTTATGCTGCACTCACCTGGCTGTGAGACTGTGCTTAAGAGCTGATGCATGTGAGTGCTGCTGGCAGGGTGGGCTCTCTAGGCAGGGGGGCCCTGGCTGGTTGCTGAAGTCCTGCTTATGCTGCACTCACCTGGCTGTGAGACTGTGCTTATGTATGGAAACCCCTTCTGTAGCTCTGTGGTCCCCAAAGCAGGCACATGCTGCCTGTCCTTGGCCTTACCCATCCATTCTCACCCTGTCCCCCTTCTCCCTACAGCCTGTGGGTGCTGGCTGCCAAGTCTTTGAAGGCCGACCCAAGCTAGCTGCATGGCGTCAGCGTGTGGAGGCGGCAGTGGGGGAGGACCTCTTCCAGGAGGCCCACAAGGTCATTCTGAAGGTCAAGGACTCTCCACCTGCGGACCCCACCATAAAGCAGAAGTTGATGCCTGGGTTGCTGGCCATGATCCGGTGAGCCAGGGAGCCCGACCCCTGCATTGCCCTTGGCAGTTCACAAAGCACTTAAATTTCCAATGTCCCATGGGAGGCAGGCCCAGAGAGCAGGAGTGACTTGCTCAAGACTTGCCTGAGTCCCATGGTACCTTAGCTCCTCAGGCCAGGGCTCCACCCTCACCCTCTCTTCCCCAGCTGCCTGAAAGCCATGATGAGAATGATACACACCCAGACCTTGTCTCCTTTAATCACAGCAGTTCATTTTAAGTTTGGATAATGAACGTGGGCTCAACCTGAGCCTCTGCTTCTAACACTGATGTGTGATTTATTTGACCTTCCTTTGTCCTGGTGCTAGTCTTGGTCTCTATCCAAAAAACAACTTTCCTTTGCAGACCCTGTGAGTCAGTTTTCCCCTGATGGTTGCCAAGAGTGAAATTAACAAATGCCCTGTAGCTTTCTAGTTCTTGGAGAAAGTGATTTGTCAGATGGCACAGGGGTCAGCAGGCATCCCAGTTGTGTTGGCTGTAGGCATGCCTATGATCAGTTGGCTAGACCAGCCTCCCTGGACATTGCCCCCAGCACAAAGTACTGATCTGGAGTCCTGCATCTGTTCTGAGGAATTGGTTGGGAGAAGAAAATCCAAATAGCACCTTTCCTGTCAGGACCCAGTCATGCAGGGGCTTAAATGACATGCCTAGACGCTTGGCTATAAACTGTAAATAGGAATGGAATGCTCTGATTGCATTTTAGAATAATATTCTGGCTGCTGGTGGGGGTTGGACTGGAAATTGGCCAGGGAGGAAGCAGAGAGATTGGATATTGCAGTAATTCGGGCCAAAGGTGACTTGTTGAGAAGGGCAGGCCACCAAAGGGGTGGCTCTTCTTGGCTTGGAGAGGGCTGCAGCACTAGACCAGGAAAACACTCTCCTGGGGGGATAGGTCTTCTTTTTCTGTTTTGTTTTGTTTCTTAAAATTTCAGAGACTAATATTTTTCTCATTATATTGTTGTCATTCACCAGTCTTCTTTAAATGGGGACCATGGGGGACCAGGGGGGCAAAGCTTTTCTCAAGTTTTCCAATAACCTGTCCTCTTTCCGAGGGACTTTCTCTGAATCTTGATGTAGGGTAAATGATGGACAGAGCCCTATTCCCCCCTCTCATGCATACCAGCATTCCTCCTCCCCCCTGGATGCCTGCCCTGGCCAAGGTAGTTACCCAAAGAAAGGCACTCCCCTTTAAGATAAACAAAATGCTGGAGGGAGTGGGGACCCTAAGTAAATGAACAAACACTCTGGCACCAGGAGAGTGGCCTGTAGATTAACTTGTCTACCCAGCCAGCTCTCAGGTCTGTGCTGAGTTATGTGAGCTGGGTGAGGGTCTGCACGTAAGCCTGAAAATGATTTACACCCCTACTTTGATCTGTTGACTATATAACTGATATACGTACTCTGTGGCAGCGCAGATTTCTTACTGACCAGCTGCCATCGGTGTCTCTCCTAAGTCTAATAAACATATGTTTCTGCCCACTGGACCTCCTGGTGATTTCTTTGGAACAAGTAAACTATGCAAGTGCCGTCTCAGATTTGGGACTCCTGTGTTACCCTTGGGTTTGGGGACAGGGTCTTCTCACCCCAGAAGGCTGTCTTGGAAAATGAGGGTGTCATAGCCACAGGCTTCAGGGGCCCAGCAAAGGGGGTGAGGAATTTCTGCCCAATCCCAGGCAGCCCTGGAAACCTCTGGATAGTCCTTGCAGGGCCTCAGCCCTCTGTGGGAGGGATTAGCCTCTGCAGGTAGGACAGGCCAGACACTACCTCCTCCCCAGTGCCTCCATCCTGGGCGCTGGGCCCAGGCATGGGGTGCTGCACCTCCTTTCTCCTCCTTCTTTTGTACTCCGGGGGACTCGGAAGCCCCTCCTTCTCAGCTCTCTCCCTAGGTGGAAGGAGGGGGCATGGGCCGACTGCAGTCAGCCTAGGCCTTTCAACTCTAAATGCACTGACAGTCTGGAAGGGCCCTTGCCGTCCCGTTTCCCAGCACTGTTCTCGAAGCCCCATTTGACGAAGGTGGACACTGAGGTCCAGGGAAGGGGTATGACATGGCAGCGAGACCCCGGCATGCCTGTGCCCTCCTGGCAAGGGGGAGATCTGCATCCTGGATTCCGGGAGAGGGAAAGCGGGAGAGCAGGGGCGCTGCTGATTGGTCCAAAGTTCTCCGGAGCCATCCAATGGGCGGGGAGGGCGTGGCCGGGCTCGGATTCCCCAGGAGGCAGTGCACAGCTGCAGGCTCCGTGGCCAAGCAAGCAGTTCCTGCCTGTCGTCGTACCTGTTCCTGGGCCTGTCCCACTAGGTTTACCCGCCGCCCCTACCGCCACCCCCACCATGGGCCTGGAGCTCTACCTGGACCTGATGTCCCAGCCCTGCCGCGCCGTCTACATCTTCGCCAAGAAGAATGGCATCCCCTTCGAGCTGCGCACCGTGGAGCTGCTCAAAGGTTGGCCCTGTGGGCCGGAGGGTCTGGGCTCTGGTGTGCAGGCGCGCCCCCGTCTGCCGGCGCCGCTGCATGTCCAGGCCAGGTGTGCGGACAGACTCGAAGTCAGACTCTCCAGTGTGGAAACCGTTGCATCAGTTATCAGTTGTGTATTTTTAAAGAGCCTTAGTATTTGCCTAGTGAAAACAAAACATTCTTCAAAATAGAGGTGAAAACGGAGCAGAGCAGGCGCTGGGTAAAGGAAGGAAGTGGAGGGAGGTCCAGAATATCTCCATTCCTGGGCTTGAAGAAAATGGTTAAACCTCCATTTCCTAATTGGAGGACCTCAACCTTTGACCCTGGTGTTATAACATCACGCTCCAACCAACGGAGATAACTGGCAGCCCACTTTTATGTCCTCCTTGCTGTTCTTCTGCTTTTTCTTGTTCCTGTTTCTGGTTTGCTCTTGTCTGTGGGTGTTCCCACCCAGCTGGAGGGGATGTTTCTAGAGGCCGGAGGCTGGGGGGGCTCTGGGGGATCTGTGGAGTCCTGTGGCAGGGTAGCGGGAGAGGGCTGTTCTTCTGCTTTTTCTTGTTCCTGTTTCTGATTTGCTCTTGTCTGTGGGTGTTCCCACCCAGCTGGAGGGGATGTTTCTAGAGGCCGGAGGCTGGGGGGCTCTGGGGGATCTTTGGAGTCCTGTGGCAGGGTAGCCGGAGAGGCCAGCACCTTTACCCTGTGCTGCAGTGTTTGCTGGTCTGGCTGGCCTGGAAAGATGTAACTGGAGCAGAATCTAGTGGAGGGGGCAGGGTATAACTGGACAGTAGGGCAGGCACCAGAGGCAGATCCCCCTGGGCGGGCCAGAGGGAGTTCCCTGCTCTCCCACCTGCTGCCTGTGGTACTCCCAGCTTGGGCTGCCTGCTGCAGGACAAGGGCTGGACACAGAGGCAGTTTCTGGAGGGAGAATGGGCAGGGACAATCGTGTCCATTCAGTAAAAGGGCAAAGAAGCCTACAGGTAGGCCCACAATCAGGCTGGAGCCTGGCTCAACTGAGGCCCTCTAACCCACACACATTGACAGGTGTATTAGACCATTTCTGTTGCTTATAACAAAATATATGGAACTGGGTAATTTGTAACAAAACAAAATTTATTGCTTACAGTTTCAGAGGCTGGGAAGTCCAAAGTCCAGGGAACACAGCTCGTGAAGGCCTTGGTGGTGGCAACAGTGACCCATGAGTCTCACATGGCAGAAAATGGCAGGGCAGAGAGAGACTAATCTCTCATGTGCTCTTCTTTTAAGGCCCTCAAAACCATGCCCCTGATCACCATTGTTAATCCATTCACTACAGTGTGGTCCTGCACTCTAATCACTTCTTCAAGGCCCCACCTTTCAATTACCATAATATGATTTCCAACCCTCAACAGTCACAGTGGGAATTAAGCTTCTAATATATGAACTTTGGGAGACACAATTCAATCAATCCACAGCAACTGGGCACCCATTGTACCCTCCAACAGAGCTGGGAACCCCCATTGGAGAGGGAGCCTTGAGGGTTTGGCACAGGAAAGGAAGAAGAGCTGAGCTGTTGGTGGAAGTTGGGTGTCTGAATGGGGCAGGTGTTTCTGGCCTGAGCGAGGTTTGACTGAGGGCTTGGAGCAGGTGTGGCTGGAGCTCTGGGGTGTGGGTGGGTCACCCAGTCTGGTCAGAAGGGCATGACTCCCCATATGAGATAGGAAGATGGATCAGAGGGGGCAAGCCTAGAGCTCAGGGAGGAGGCTGGTGGGTCTGACATATGGATGGAACTGGCTGGGGATGGGGAGTGGTTTACAGCTTCAGGGAGTCACCAAGGCCCACACTGAGATTCTGCTTGGCTCATGCTGCAAGGGGGTGGACACAAGAAAGATGGACCTCTGATGGGTCAGTCTGTGATCCAGTGACCAGCAGAGTGTCCTACTCTTTCCTGATGCCCCCCAGATAGGGGCCTCAGAAAGCTGATGCCAGGGCTTGGGGGTGGGGGTGTAGGTAGACACTTCAGAGGGCTCAGGGTTCTCCTCCTCATTCACCTCACTGGTCTCTTTTGCAGGCCAGCACTACAGCGATGCCTTTGCCCAGGTGAACCCCCTGAGGAAGGTGCCAGCCTTGAAGGATGGGGACTTCACCTTGGCTGAAAGGTAGTGGGTCCTTGGATTACTGCTGGGCCTTGTGGGGCCAGTCAGCTGTCTGTGTGTCTACAGTTCACTGCATGGGTCATGACATGTGTGCCCAAACCCTGTGCCAGCCCCGGGGTGGAGACTGGGCGAAGTGGGCAGAGGTGTCCAGGGCTGAGGGGGAAAGTTGAAGCCATGGCATCTCTGTCCTGCTTCCCCCACTGCATTGTACAGATAAGGCCAGGAGAGGGGAGGGACTTGCACAAGGTCACAGGGCCCAGCCTGGTTCCAGGCCTCTTCACTGCCAGCCTAGCTCTCAGAAGGAAGATTGCTAAGTACCAAACAGCAGTTGTACCAGGCACCTTAGAGCTACCACTTCTCCCACAAATCCTGTGGAGCAAGTGGGCAAGTGCTATTTTCCTGGAGAGTCAACAGAACACCCAGTGAGCTTCAGTGGCTGAGTACCCACCAGCACCAAGCCCCGTCTAGGCCTGGGGTTTGAGCAGTGGCCAGGTCTCAGCCCTTATCTTCATGGAGCTCACATTCTAGAAGGGGGAGCCGGCAGTAACCCATATGAACACGTGACACGTTAAGTGGTGATGAGTTGTGGAGAAGATAAGCAAGGTAAGAGTGGGGGTGGGTGAGGTTTTGAGTAGGATATTGAGAAAAAGCCCTCTCAAGGAGGTGGCTTCTAAGCAGAGCTGCAGGGATGGAGGTGCAAGGCATGTGGGGAAGAGTGTTCTGGCTGGAGGGAAGAGTGAGGGTGACAGCCCTGAGGTGGGACAATGCTGGGGGTGTAGGCTGGAGAGTGAGGGAGCAGGGGGTGAAGACAGGGCAGCATAGGGGACAGGGAGGACTTCGGCTTTTACTGCAGTTGGACAGAGCCATTGGAGGGCTTTGAGCAAAGAGTGCTGTGATCCAACTTATGTCTTAAAGGATCCCTCTGGCTGGGATGAGAAAGCTACTGTGGTCATCCAGGCATGAGGTGCTGGACCCCACACCAAAGTGGTGGTGGTGGAGGGTGGTGGGTGGTTGGTTCTGACTGTTCTTGAAAGCCAAACTGCAAGGGTTTGCTGAAGGATTTGAGGTAGGTGGGAGGGACAGGAGCCAAGGCCGGCCCCCAAGTTGGTGGTTGAATGGAGGTATCACTTACTTAGTGCCTTCGTGGTACAGCCCGATTCACATTCAGAACCATTTGGCTCCAGAGCCTGTGGTCGCTGGACAGTCCCAACACCCACAGAGGCATGATGAGCTCTGGGGGTCAGGTTGCACAGGCCAGACATGATGTGAGGAGAGGTCAAGGATGACTTCCTGAGGGAGAGGGCTAGAGGCTTCGGGAAAGAATGGAGGTGCAAGGTGTGTGGGGAAGAGAGCTACAGCCTCTCCACTCTACACCACAAGCATTGTCCCACCTCAGGGTCTTCACTTTTGCTCTTCCTTCCAACCAGAACACTCTTCCCCACACGCCTTGCCTCTCTGTTCCTGCAGCTTTGGGCAGGTGGAGAGGAGGTGGGACAGGGCAGGAAACAATGCCCCCATGTCATCAGGGAGGCCCTCTCACAGCCCCAGGAGAGTGGGAGGGGGCAGCTGGCCTTGCTGCTGGCACCATCCATGCTTTGGATATGTTAGGGAGCAGTATCCAAGTTGCTCATTTTTCAAGACTCACAGTGGGTTCCTCTTCTTCGTGGAAGCCTTCCCTCAGCCCTGGGCCTCTTCTGAAATCGATGACAGTTTGTTTCTTACTTGGTGCCTTTAGTTCAGATGAGGGGATGGCCCAGTGTAGAGCTGTGTGACCCTGGACAGTAACCTAACCTCTTTGAGCCTAATATTCCTCCTCTGTACCATGGGGATAGTGAAAATGCCCCATGATGGCCGGAGAGTGACCAAGGCATGTGCTCCACCCCACCATGTCCTCCTAGTGTGGCTATCTTGCTGTATCTGAGCCGAAAGTACAAGACCCCTGACCACTGGTACCCCCAGGACCTGCAAGCCTGTGCCCGGGTGGATGAGTACCTGTCATGGCAGCACACAGCCCTACGGAATTGCTGCATCCAGGTCATGTGGCAGAAGGTGAGCCAGGGAGGCGGGCAGGGATACCTCCCAGGATGCTCAAGGGATGGTGCTTTCTGTTTAAAAATTCCATTCAGAGGCTGGCCAGTTAGCTCAGTTGGTTAGAGCATGGCCTTGCAACACCAAGGTTAAGGGTTCAGATCCCTGTACTGGCCAGCCACCAAAAAAAAAAAAAAAAAAAAAAAAAAAAAGATGGAAAAATTCCATTCAGACCTGAGACCTTAGAACACCAAATCCTGGGATGCCAGGGACTGCCTAATTCAACCAACTTGTTTCTCAGAGGGAAAACCAGGGCACAGAGCTGAGAAGTGATTTCCCCCCATGTGCCTGGATTTCTGAGCAACTAGCAATTAATCCTGTGTCTTTTTGCACACTCCAGTTGCCTGGGCATATCGCTTTTTGGGGGAGAAAAAAACCCAAATTCTTACTTTGCTACACACATAATTCCCAGCTGGAGAGCAAATGAAAGAAATGAAATAAGGTGAAAAAAGTCAAACTAGGAAGAAATGAGAAGACATTGCAATAAATGTTTCTCTGATTTCTGGGTATGGAAGGACTTTCTAAGCCTAAGAACAGTAAAAGAATTCAATAAAGAAAATACTAATAGATTTTACACATACAGTGAAATTTTGTATATGAAAAAAGGATTAAACTTAAAACAAGCATAAGACTAGGAAACATCTTGGTAAAGATATGTTAAAAAGTAGCTTTCTTTAAGATGCTCTAATAAACCCATCAGACAAAGACACAGGAGAAAAAGGAAACCAGCAGGGGTTTAAGTGAAGGGCAGAGAGAAATGGTCAGTAAACGGAGGAAAACATGTTTAACTTCAGTAATGTGCACATCAACACAACATGCACATGCTGTTTTTACTTATCAAATGTGCGTATGTTTTTTATTTTATTTTATTTTTTGACTGAAATTTTTTTATTTTAAAAGAGCCATTCATCATATTAACATAATTCTGGCAAATTTTATGTTCTTAATTATCACTGGGATTCATTTTCCTCTGCAGTAAAATGGGGGTGTGTCTTGGATAGATGGTGCATATGTTTTTTAAATATGCACTCTGAATTAATACTTGCAGAGTGCTTACATAGTGCCTGGCACATAGTGGGTGCCCTGTGTGTGTGAGGGATCATGAAACAGGTGTGCTCATGCCCTACTGCAGTTAGGGTACTACTGTTCTGAAGGGCCATCTGGCAATAAATAGGTTTCCATAACCCTAACTGTGTCTTCCTTGAGCTTCTGGGGGCTGGGAGCAGAGCCACCTCAAACTCCTGGGAGAGGGAGCGTGGTCCATTGAGGGCAGAATGGAGAGAAGTTGGGGAGAGTAAGTGTAGACCCTTGCTACTCAAAGTGTGATCCATGGACCACGAGCACTGGTGTCACCAGAGAGCTTGTTGGAAATTCAGAGTCTCAGGCCCCACCCAGACTTACTGATTAGGAACATGCACTTTTACCAGATCCCAGGTGGATTCTTACACACATTCCCATTTGAGAAGCCTGGGGTGTAATAGGAGGTGGGGTGGGGAGTGGGGAGAGAACAGCTGCTCACTGGGGAGGGCTTTGTGTTGAGGTCTTTGTCATGAGTGCAGTGAGGAGCCATGGAAGGCTTTATGCAGGAAAGGGTATGGGCAGTTTGAGATTGCAGAAGGATTCCACTGGCTGCCTGGTGTGAGGATGCAGGGAGAGGCGGAGGCTGTCCCTGTTGGTGATGAAGGCTGCTGGTGGCCATAGGTGGAAAGAGTTGGATAGAGGTGAGGAGAAATCTGAAGGACTGGTGATAGATAGCATGGTGGGGAGGGAATGAGGATGGGCTTTGGGCAGACCCTGACCCCTCTCTGCTTGCCGGCCCACCAGATGATGTTCCCTGTGTTTCTGGGTGAGCCAGTGCCCCCTGAGACGTTGGCGGCCACCTTGGCTGAGCTGGACAGGTGCCTGCAGCTGCTTGAAGACAAGTTCCTGCGGAACCAGGCCTTCCTTACTGGGTCCCATATCTCTGTTGCTGACTTGGTGGCCATCACGGAGCTGATGCATGTGAGTGCCATTCAGTGGGGTGGCCCAATGAACAGTGGGGTGTCCTTGGAGGGAGTTGACATCCCAGCTCACATTGCCCTTTCTGGCTGTGGGACTCTGGGTGAGTCATTTCCTCCTCTGAGCCTCAGTGTCCTCATGAGGAGCTATCCAGTGTGTCCTGGGAGGGGGTACCCCCAGCCCATCACACATGTGGTAGCAGAGAGAAAATCCACTTGGGGATGACCTAGAGCAGGTCATGCTGCCTTGTGTTCGGCCGTGCCCTGCCCTCGACTGGTTCCCCCTCCCCATAGCCCGTCAGTGCTGGATGCCAAGTCTTCGAAAGCCGACCCAAGCTGGCTGCGTGGCGCCAGCGTGTGGAGGCTGCAGTCGGGAAGGACCTCTTCCAAGAGGCCCACGCAGTTGTCCTGAAGGCCAAGGACCTGCCTCCGGCGGACCATGCCATGAAGGAAAAGCTGAGGCCCTTAATGCAGATTTTGTTGAAGTGAGTAGGTGACCCAAGCCTGCAGAACCACCAATGGATATGCAATGTTGGCAGAATAAAAAAATGGAGCTGTCTGTCTCCTTGGCTGTAAGACATGCAAGACATATCTGTACATTCTTTGGTCCTCAGTTTCCTCCAGGCATCATGCCTGCATTCCTTTTGTCCCCCTACCCCACTTCTCAGTCCCAGTATTTCCCTCCCTCAGTCCTGGCAGAAAACAGGTTCCATGCCCCTGCCTGAGCATGTATCACAGATGGGTGTTGGTCTGGTGAGATGTCTGAATCAGGAATGGACTCAGTGTCTCTCCTCTCCCTGGGGTGATACTGTCTCCCACAGGTGGGGTACAGGGCTGGTTCATGAGCCCCCTTGCAGGAAGTCCCTGGTTATTTCCTGGCCCTCCAGGTGCTGCTGAGAGCAGTTTTGCTCTCCCACCTACTTGTCTTTTCCACATCCCACTCCGGGTCCCAGACTTGCCATCTGTCCCTGCCCTTTCTTCTCGGGACTGTCACAACCTATGTCTTGTGTCCCAGACCCTCTGATATCTGAGTCATCTAAACTGCTAACAGGACAGGTTCATGACAGACTCTTGGCCTGCTTGCCTTCCTATGGAGGCTCCTTTAATATGCACACTTATGTAGTATCTTATATGTGTAATTGAAATTGAACCTGTACACCCACACAACTTTAATTATAGTTGAAATTTATGATTCAAATAACTGCAACACTGATGAGAGGATCATGTTTAGCCACACTAACAGATTTCCATGTTTTAAATAACACCTTTTAACACCCCCTGGTGGACAGTGACTCACCTCTGGCACAAGAAGTTACAAAGGCAGATAGATGTCTGTGGGGACCAGGAGGGAATGCTGTGAACCCCGAGGTGGGGGGTGGGAGGGTCTCTATCCAGCCACACCTGCACCTGCACGTGTCACCAGGTTTCCTGGTTGTTCAAGAGAAGCGCAGATTCCTGTACTGAACGTGAAGTTGCCTGACTATGAAATGGTGGCAATTCATTCAAAAAAATTTTAAACCCCTGTGGCAATGATTACTAGGGTTCAGCAATGGAAAGGCCCCTACAGGTGTGTGTGTTTTGGGGGTGTTCAGAGTTCAATCTAAATATGGGCTAGGCAAAAGGAAGAATGAACTGCCATTTGCAGCAACATGGATGAGTCCAGAAAGTTGTTAAGTGAAATAAGCCAAAGAAACAGAAATAACACATGTCCTCGCTCATAACTGGCTGCTAGGAAGGAAGAGAGGTGGGGAGGGAAGGAGGGAAGAAGGAATGAAGGAAGGAAAGAAGGAAAGGAGAAGGAAGGAAGGAAGGAAAGAAGGAAACAAAGAAAAATAAACAATATGTTGAACTTTGAGGAGAGAACAAACCTAAGGATACTGGAGATGGGGGGGAGGGTGGAAGGGGGTTGGGGAAGCGATAGGTCGGGTAAAGGGCATAAAGAAATATCACGATTTGTAAGAATGAATATGCTGATAATAATATATATATATGGGCTAGGATGCTGGCCACCGCAACGCTCAGAAGACTGAGGAGATGGAAACCCACCGCCCGCTGGGTGGAACTGGGGCGGGGCCACGACGCGGTCAGGCCCCGTGGGGTTGGGTTTACCGGTAACGGGGCGGGCGCTAGGACCGAAGGAAATCAGAGCCAGCGCATGTGACGTTGCCTGCAGAGGCGGGGTCCAGGCAGCCAATCCGGAAGCGCTGAGTCTCTGCCCAGCCAATGAGGGGCCTGGCTGCTCCCTCTCCTGAGACCCTTAGGAACATCCAACCCAAACCCAGCGCCCTGTGTCGGAACATTGGACTCCGAGCCTTTTCTGTCCGCCGCGGCCCCTCGCGCCCTCCCGCCGGACATGCCTTTTCTCGAGCTGGACACGAATTTGCCCGCCGACCGCGTGCCCTCGGGGCTGGAGAAGAGGCTCTGCGCGGCCACCGCCGCCATCCTGGGCAAACCCGAGGACGTGAGCCAGGGAGCATAGGGCGAGGGGAGGTTGATGGGCCAGGGATCGGGCTCTGTCCACGCCCCGCCTCCCCCACAGTGACCCCAACTCTTTTGCCCAGGGACCGCGACCCCCCGCCCGCCAAGCTCAGGCCTTCCGTGCCCCAAGACCCCCCGGCCCCGCTCCCCACGACTGCCCCTGTTCTCACTCCCCAGCCGTGACGCTAACTTCAGGCGAAACTTTCGTGTGCCCCGCAGCGCGTGAGCGTGACGGTGCGGCCGGGCCTGAGCATGGCGTTGAACGGCTCCACGGAGCCCTGCGCGCAGGTGCTTGTCTCTTCCATCGGCGTGGTGGGCACGGCCGAGGAGAACCGCGGCCACAGTGCCCGCCTTTTCGAGTTCCTCACCAAGGAGCTGGCCCTGAGCCAGGACCGGTGCGTAGAGGCAGGGAGCGGACCCTCTTGGGACTGCTGCGCGACCGGGGACAGAGATCTCACCTCAGGACCTCTCCTTAAGGTTGGGGAAGAAAATATTCCTCGCTCTGCCCAGGAAGGACACATCAGGGCCCAATCCCCCAGGGCCCCTAGGCCCCTCAGACCCCCTGTGGTGTGTTCATCTTCAGAGTGGTGGCAGGATTGAATGAATTCCTGGCTTTGCAGCGGTCCCTGGGACATCTGGGCAAGGCGTGGCTTCTTGGATTTAAGTGTTTCCATCTGTGAACTGGGAAGCTCTCTTTTAACCACTCCCCAGGGGCATTGCAAGAGTCGTGTATGTTGGCCTGTGCACTGTACCTGCCTTGGAACCTGGCAGGGTAGGAAGATATTACCCTGAAGAAGCCAGGGAGTCTGGCTTTCTAGAACTTTTGCAGGCTAGTCAGAGGAATTCAAACACAGGGAATTCTATTCTCTGAGTTTGTGACCTTTGAACGTGTGGCCCAACCAGGTCCCAGGGGAGGCTGGAGGAGGATCACTGAGTTATGAAAACAGCATTGGCCCGGAGTCTAGACACGTAGGTTCTGGGCCCAGCACAGCTGGGGGACCCCAGACAAACCTGGAAATGAACCATCTCCAATTTGCAGCCTCCTCTTCTGCGAATAGAGGGGTGTAGATTAAATGACCTCGCTCTCCCATAAGAAGCCGCTACAACCCAAACCTAGCATTCTGTGTCAGGGTTAAAGCTTTCTCTTTTTTTTTTTTTTTGTCCTTTTTTGAGACCAGCCGCACCGCGCTCAGCCAGTGAGTGCTGTGAGCGCACCGGTCATCCCTATATAGGATCCGAACCCGAGGTGGGAGCCCTGCTGCACTCCCAGCGCCGCACTCTCCCGAGTGCGCCACAGGCTCGGCCCTAAAGCTTTCTCTTGGGTGATAACTATTCCTGAGCCCAGTCCATGCCTGGGAGGAACTAAGGACATGAGCTTGAAAGGACCTTCCAGAATGGAGCCTTTGTTGGCCCCAGAAGGCTGGGTGAGGAATGGTTGCTCTTGGGTGCGTAGACCTGGTCCTCAAGCTGGGTAGATAATAATAATTCCAACAACCATAAGTAAAGTACAAGTTCTTACCATGTTCCAGGTACTCTGTCATTAGTTTTTATGCATGATCTTATTTGATTCTTAAAAACCCTGTCCGCACCCCTAGTACAGACATGCCATCCCCATAACATAGATATCTCCACTGTATCAATTTTACAGATGAGGAAACTGAGGGTGTCACTTCCTAACACCCCCCCCTACCAGGTTACACTAAGCCCTGGTACTCTTCACCAGGAACTTTCTGTCATCTCTGTGAGAGGGGCACATTCATTCATTCATTCCACAGACATTAGTCAGGGGTCACCCTGTGCCTGGCCTTGAGCCAAGGTTTTAGAAAACAGGTGACTGAGGCACCGTGCATACCCTCAGGGAGCCTGCAGTTAGGAGGAGGGAGGACTGCCCCTCTGAGCCCACAGACTGATAGAGATGATTGAGCAAACATCATATACTCCAAGGTTGCTGTGTTGAGTGTCCTGTGATGTGTAGCCATCATCCTGTGCCTTACAGTCCTACTGCTCTGTCAGGGGTCAGGGGAAGATCATTACTGGGACAAGCAGGCTTGCAGAATGCCTGGTGGGCTGAGGAATGCTGGCCTAAGAGCCCACAGTGGGAGCACCTGGTAGGGGTCTTACAAGATGAGGTGTTAGCCAAGGAACTGATGATATTTTTTTTTCTGTCTCCTGAAGGATAATTATCCGCTTTTTCCCTGTGGAGCCCTGGCAGATTGGAAAGAAAGGGACGGTCATGACTTTTTTATGATTGGCATGGATCCAGGGCATCGGTGAGCCGCCTGCTCCTTTCAGAGAGGATTCCTGGCAGAGCGAGGGCCTGGTGGTTATGTTTTGGGCACCCCCTCATGCAGACATGCCTGTGACTTCACAGTCCTCCTCTTCCCTATCATGACAAATAAATGAAGAGAGCTTCATTGTTCAAAGATGACTTCTTTATCTCCCTATACCCCTCCTGGCATTCTGGGTCACCATGGGTAGAGGGTTTGGTTTATGAGGATACCTTAGGGAACCTATAAGTGAGATGTTTCCTGTCTTCAGGACCTCTGTCTGATATGTTTTGACTGCTTAAATCTGGAGGTAGAGGGCTCAGCCTGGAGGCTTTGCTCTCCACATCCAAATGCAGGCTGGTGGGGAGGTACAGGCAGCTGGTTCAGCTTGGGCCTTCCTGCAGACTCTGCTGACCTCCTGGGACTCATTCTCAGCCTGGGGTGGCCTGGGCTGTTCCCTGTCAGTAGACTGCTGTACTGGGCACAGGAATAAAGCAGACTGGTCTTCAGGGACCTTCCCTGGGCATCCCCAACTTCACCTTCCATCTTGACTCTTGCTGAGAATTCTCTGGGGCTGGGTATTTTGCCATACCCATGTCCCAGAATGCTTGAACCTGGAAATGCAATGTCTGCCACTAGAAATGGATTGAATGTGGTCCCCATCTCCCAACTAAATACCATATCATGTTTTTGCATTTCAGAGTATGTATGGGTGGAGTGGGGGTAGACAAAGTTAGTCTTAGTCTCCCATTTCAGTAGCTTTCCAGATGTTCAATGCAGAGTTTACATCTCATGACCCTTAGACACTCTGGTGGGCTCTGTGTTTTCCTGCAGTTAAAC